AAAAGGCTTACATTATACAGGGATTAAGGTTTTTAATAGACTGCCTGCTCCTATAAAACTATTGTCAAATGATATAAAACAATTTAAAAGCGCATTAAGGGAATTTCTGTATCTTTATTCCTTTTATTCACTAGAGGAATATTTTAATATAATACAATAATATACTTTATAATTTTATTTTGATTTTGTATTCATAATGTTTATATTTTTGATACTATTATATTTATATCTTGATTTTTGCATACTGTGCAGAAATGTGATAAATCCATTATATATTTAGGCTATTTTTATTTTATTGTACCTATTTTATTGTTGACAAAGCTCTGTATAGGAGCTGTTTTTTCTTTTATAATTATCTCTGACATCCTGTGGCATGTTTGTCAATAACGATTTATGGAACAAATAAAAAAGTGAAAGTGAAAGAGAAGGTTTCGGTAATTGGGGTATGCAATCAGGATGGATCAAACTAGGGAGGCTCCGACATTTTTGAAAGTAAGCCACAGGGTAGAAGTATAGTGGGGAAGCCCAGACTGAGTTCACTGGAAGATGCAAAAATCGATTTTCAACTATTTTAAGTTGAAGATGTTGTGGCAAAAGCAGAACAAAAATTGAAAAAAATGTGCATCTGTTTTCAAGCAGCGGTCGCTCGGTTGATATAGTTCGCTTGCGGACTGAAACCACGGAGTTTGTTTTGTGCATATGTTTTAAAAGAGGCAAATGTTCTCAGACAACAGTAGAGCCATGGAAGATAAATTTCAGACGCCAGTAGGCCCGGTTTTAAACAAACGTGGACTTTCTGCTGCGAAAGACACTTTTTTTTCTCTGTGTGTAACCAAATTAAAATCAGCGGATACATAATACAAAAATTAGCACGATGGAAAATTTGAATGTGAAATCTACAAATACTTGAAATCCATGGTTGGCAAGATTTTTCTGCCTAACTTATTTTACTGCCTTTACTTCTTCCTTTAGAAAGAAAAATAAGCTCCCCCGCAATAGGGGAGATCAACGTACATTAATGAATGAGATACTTTAAATGACACATTGCAGATTATCATAGCACAGAATCACGCCGCATTCAGTTTGCGTGGCAATTGTAGGAACATTCTTACAATAGCTTACATATTCAAATCCCATGCAGTCAATGACAACACCTCTATGCAGCAATGGAAATTGCAGGTTATTTCTTTACTGCTTTTGCATTAATATTTTTACATTGACCTTAATTTTCTCTTTTAGTTACTGGATAGTACAAGATATTGACACGCAAACAACTATCCTTAAGTGACGAAAGATTAGATCAAGTGGGGTCAACTCCAGGCCTTAGGGTGGCCAATCCGCACAGCACTGCCACTCAGTCTGTCATCACTCCTGCTCTGAACGAGCAAAAAGGAGATAAATCACTTTGCCGAAAACCAAAACTTTGCATCATAATCCACTCGTGGCTCCCACAGTCATTTTTATTTTCGTGTTTTCCTCCAAAATCCATTCTGTTGTTCATGCGTTCACGGTTTCATTATAGAAGATTTCTCTCATGGATAAATACCAATGGTCACCCAAATGGTTCATACCAGTTCAGTAGAATCTGTGGTAAGTCTGGTAAACCATAGACCCAGTTGTTAAAATAATTTTAAAAGCTTAAAAAGTAAAATTAAATTAGACCAATTAAGATTATCAAATAGATGACACATGGAGGCGATATAAAGGATATGTTTAAGAGTGTTTGTAGGTCCTTCTATACAAAGCAAATGCAAAGAATTCTCCACAGCAAGTCTTTATTACGCTGTGTTCTAAAAACACAGGATTTTTTTCTTTTGTATCTGAGCAGCAGGCAAGCATATGTGAATTCAGCAGTTTACTGTAGATTGTAGGGTGAAGGAAAGGTACTTAGATCCACCAGCTAATTATTCTGATTTGACTGAATGTCAAACTTACATAGATACGACAAAAAATAAAATACAGGTGCTTTCTTTCAGACATCAGTCTGGTAATCGACATCACTTGAGTACTGCCACCTTTTACCGAGAAACGGGTACTGGGCATAAACTCGAAAAATAGTGGGCTTTAAGCCCAAACTTAGGCTACTTTGCTTCCTTAGGAACATGATAAAACTCGTTTACAAATGAACAAGCTGTACTGTAATAAAATCTACTGTTTCTATGTTTTCATTGCAGCAAATCTTCCAATCGGAAAATAAGTTCTCCAACTGAATGAATATTATTAGAACCAATGGCTTTGTACTCAAGTTATTGCAGCGTCCATGTGGGGGGTTATCTTACGATGCTGTAAATACAGTGCCCAACAGCAAGGTGACTGGTGAATTGGAAAAGGTTTGGAAGGAAGTGGTTGTACCCTAACCGAGGCAGCATTCCGATATTTGACTGGAGAAACCGAGAAAAGCCATGAAATACCACCTTCAAGATTGTCGGAGTCATGGCCAAAATGTGAAGAAAACACTTCCCAAATAGAATTCTCTTGCATTTCCACTAAATTGGCTTACTCCGTGAATATTGTTTAAAACTATGATGAAGTTACTGGGAAAGTTCATGATAATGTCAAAACAAGAAATTGGTCAATAAGCAGGCTGGAAAACTCTTAGATTTGTATTCTGAAGATGCTCGGTTCGATTCCCGGCAGAGGCACCTGCTATCCTGAGGCTCTTCGTGGTTTCCATCAGTCTCTCCAGGCAAATACTTCAATAATACCTGGATTATTATAGCTTCATTCCAAATTCTCTTCAACCCATCATTCAACTACCATTCAACAATGTACAGTCTCAGTACTGAACCTCTGAACACAACTTTGCACATAATGCATTCTCAAGATCCTGAGGTCTAGTGAAAGAAAAATGTTTAAGAACATTTAGGCTTTCGGATTCCCTTAATAAATACTTCTTTTTTTAGCTTGAGAGAAAACAAGGTCAGCAGTTGAAGAAGCAATTAAATATAGAATGCCAGCACTTTGAACATGCAATATAGACTACTGAGGACTAACAGCTACACAGATAGGGAAGGACTCCCAATGAAATGTGTGGCTTGAAAGCAATTAGGAAGAACTAGATGTAAGAATCCACAAAACGGCTTCAACCTGATAATTGTTCGATTTTCATTAAAAATTAGTATTATCTGAAAAACAAAAGTTTATGCCCACACAAAGGCAAATTTATACCAAAAGTGCACTTAGAAAAAATATGGTTATATAATTCATTCTTGCTGATAACAGTGGACGCTTTCATGATCTTGGAACTCTTGTACAATCGAAATGCAAGTTCAAATTAAACTGTCAGTGTTGTTCTGTATAATCAACAGCCTTGGGATGGGCTGATCCCTTTCCAAGTAGTCCTACCAATCTTCAGTGTTTCAGGATCAATTCTGAATCAAAACAGGTAATAGCACCTAATTTATAAAAGAAAAAGAAAGAATCCCTTCCATCAGTGTTGTCCTGTGTAAACAACAGCCTTGGAATGGGCTGATCCCTTTCCAAGTAGTCCTACAAATCTTCAGTGTTTCAGGATTAATTCTGAATCAAAACAAGCAATAGTACCTAATTTATAAAAGAAGAAAAAGAAAGAATTCCTTCCATCAACAATGAACATATTTACCACTAGACATACAAGTATTAGATGTAAGGGATGAACATGTGCGTGATTATATTATGATGGTCAAAGTACAAAGATTCAGTAATTCTGATTTTTCTCATGTTTTGCACTGACCATACTTGCAGTTTTGTTTAAATCTGAGGCCACCATCAGCAGACTCACGCACATATGCTAAAATATTATGGTAGTGGGAAAATAAACGAAATACATTAATGTTTTCGCATTTAAGTGAAAGAGAAAAATTGTAGTGATTAATTTTTTGAACACTGTCCACCATTTTGAAGAACAAAGCCAAATACAAACGACTGTACTGTGTGACATACGATCAGTGACACAGAAACAAATGCATGATCAAAAAAATTAAGATATGAAATCTATACTCTGAGTGGTTTTGTCAGGAAAGAATGGCCATCACACTACTTGACAGACCAATGATCAAGGCAAAAGTTGACCATTTCAAGGAATGTTTATAGACTGAGAGCTTTCAGTATTCCAAAGGCAGGTTTCCCATTTCAAAGCAAGGAAAGGCATCAGTGTACACAAATTTTTGGAGAGTATGAGAAGTTTAGAACTGATCTGTAATGCAGTCAGTGTGCCTTGCAATTAATACACTATGGGCACAAAGTATATAGCAGGCTGGACTTGTGATTGTAAATAACAACTCATATTAAGTGGTAAGTTGTGAGCATAAGGTTATGTAAATATGAGAAAATCTGTAATCTCTATGAACTGTCAATGCTAAAAACATTGAATTATTATTCATCACTTATGTTTGTCTGAGGTAAAAATAATAAATATTGCTGAATTTACTTGAGTTCTTTTTAAACCTTAGTGATGTATTGTGATATAAACAGAAATCAGATGGACCTGAAACTACGTATTTCGACCACTTCTGGATATTACGAGTATCCATCAGAACAAGCATTTTTATGAACGCTGTGTATTCTTGTACTACTGAGGTTGCACTGTACTCCCATATGACTTTTATTATCTTTCATATTTGTTTATAATCAATATCATAGTCTCTCCATTCATGTTCAGCCCCTCTGCTATTTCTGGCATATAATCCCATGCAGTCTGCTGAAAGTCAGCCAACATTTTGGAGTAACATGTTGCCTCTATTTTCAGGTCTGAAGAGTATGCCAAGCAACAAATCAGCAAAAAGTAGGCAGTAACCAAAGCTTTGCTTGCTTGGCTTACTCTTAAACCCTGAAGATAGATGTGATATATTCCTCTGAAACATCAGTTGACTTTTAATGGACTAAATGTATTTATATCCCACAAGATATAACTCTTCATAACCACCACTCTGAGAATCTCAAATCACATTTCTGCTACTTTCTGAACGATCAAATGACAACTGTTTCCAGTCACCTAAATCAGTTTTTGCAGATGCCACACAGCTGCACTTTCTGATTTCTCTAATGCCTTCCTTGAAGGCACTTAACCCACAGAAGTATTTGTGCTCTACTGGCTGTTCCCCGTCCATAAATTTTCTGTAATATTTTGTAAATGTCAATGGAATTTTTCTCCACTATTGTTAAAAATGTGTGTTGTTTCTCCATTCTGGCAATTTATCACTCATGTTTCTGACGAACAAAATGCTACAAAAATGACAAAACTTACATCCATGTAACAAAGTAAATTCCACTGAACTGTTGACCCAAAACCGCCAAATCAGATGTGTTCAGTTCAGTAGGTGCAAACTCACCAATGCTGCCTTTGATATATAAAAGCATCAGTGTGATTACTTTAATCATGAGATCACACACTTTACATGAGAATTAAAATGACTACTGACAAGTAGCAAAATGGTAACATTCTAAGGAATTTCCATAATAGTGGTACACTTAATGGAACAGCGGCATTTAAGCTTTGCTGTGTGCATACTGCACCATCGTACCAGGGCATATGTGGGTTCAGCACAGATATCATTTTGTTTACAATATGAATCCCATTATCAACATGATAAAATTTGACTGCCAGCACCATACTAGCTATTTCCCAACGAGAAAGCTTAAGTAAGGGAAAGAGGCTTTTCCAGCTTCAGGAACCTTGAACAAAGAATTAAGTCAACACCGATCTGCAAAATACAATTCACATTCAGTTTTGAAATAAAAATTAAAGGAATATGTACAGAACTCATGTTACATTTATATAATACATCTTACTTAAAAATATAAACTTTCTTACAATAGTGTTCTTACAGCAGTGGAATGCCCGAAAAGTGTAAATTATACACATACAACCAGGTTAAACATTCAAGGTCCAGTACCTCACAAACATAACTGAAAAATGTACACAAATGCTAAACATAATTTTCAGTGGCAGTAACACTGGTATCACATTAAGTTATACAGAAATAGGAGATATTAATGTATAGTGAAACAGAAGTTACATACACCTATAGAAAACCAGGATCACCAATGGGATTATTTAAATACATTTAGTATGTGAATACAGAGTCAATCAATGAGATAGGGACTATCTAGTGCCCCTGATCCAGCAGCAACACCCCCTTCATCAGCACTACTCAGTTTGGTGCGCAGCATATGGCCCACTTGCCGATTTGCAATCACAGTGCTTGCATTCCTGAAACCATCCATGTATCATGAGAGTTAATATGGGAAGACATTCCATACCAAATCATCAAAGAAAAGTGTTAATGAACCTTGGCTTGAACACTAGCTACCCTCACTTCTGTCAGTAACTCTAAGCAGCTACCAAGACAATTCCTTGATATATGCTATTGTTGCTTTTCCTCATCAACCTTTCCAGTTTATCTTACATCATTATTCTTTTATCTCATTTGATGTTAAATAAATACTTTAGTTAATACAGTGGTATTAAACATCATCTAAATATTTGAAGTTAAATAATCTAACAAGATTAATCCATGAAGATGAAGACTATCCTCTACTCTAATCCAAGAAAATTATAATGAATGTTTAGATTATTTAAATTATTATATCTTTAAGACTATATTATTAGGCAATGTGAAGCCAGGCTTACATATTCTGCATTAAGCCTAGTCTGATTATGTCTACAAGGTCAGTTAAGCTCATCCTCATAGCCCACAGACAGAAACATGCATTACACTCACCCTATGATGACTCCAAATATACCTAACTCTGACACCAAGTCAACCAACTGAGGGACCTCCGGTCCACCAGGCCGAATCATGTATCCTTTCTGTACTGGAGGTATGATACGTTCCATAAGTATCCATGCTGTTCTCTCCTGAGAATCAGTCATAGACTGCAGTACCTCACGAACCTTTTCCCCATATACATTATTACCTCCACCTTCCCTCTGTGGTTTCAGTACGTAACACTCTGGTTTCATTATAGCCATCTCAGCTGCCCGATTCCCATCTTCATCCTGACAGAAAAACAAATAATTAATATTATTTTTCATCTGTACTTTCATTTTATCACCTGCTCTTTCTTCATTCATAAATTATGTGTATTACTTGCTTTCCCAAATCCTGTTAATTGCCATGTAGTAAGATAGCCTGTAGACCCTCCATGTGGCGTTGTTGTTTCAGGCAGTAATCCATTCTGCCACAGATCGCCGGATTCTACTTCGATTCCAACACATTTGATGGATAAGTAGTAAAATAACTTGTGAAAGCAACATTAAATAACAGCCTTAATTGAACAAATTCAATGAGAATTTATGACTTCCTGTGACATTTGGTATATACCATCCCAAATGGTGTTTGCATTCACTCACTGCTGTTGGTGTGATTATTATGTATTGAATACAGTACCTGCACCATGTAGAAGCACTGACCAGTGCCCATTTCTAATGTATCCACTTATACGAGCCACTTTGGGAAAATTAAAAATAAGTTCTGAGAGGATTCCCAAAACATCATAAAATGTCAGTTCAAAGAAAGATGACATTTAAAAAAGATATCATAAAATGTGTCAACATTCTACTTTTTCAACAGACCCTCCCATATTAGGGCAAGTAGACACAGATGCAGGGAGTATGGTAAGATTACCCACATGGTTCTTTTATTTCCCATACATCATAATCACATGATCACATCATCCCAAGGCCATGAGACTTTAACCTAATAAAACTGAAGGTAGGTTACACTCACCAGATCAAGAGAGTAAAGACCAGTAAATATTTCTTTCACTGCATCAACCTTGGCTGGGTCAGTCAGGAACTTTTCCAAAACACCTGGTGTGGCAAGGGTTTGCTGCACCTTCTTGGTGCCCGCCAAGTGATAATGAATAGAAGGGCACTTTATAGCCAAGGATCGTTCTATCATTAGACGGGCTGCCCATTCCTTACTGCTAGGATATTGTGCAGGCTCATATCCAGAACGAAAGTAAACAACTGCCACAGACAGACCATCACTATAACCAAGATAAAACCTACTTCAAGCCTGAAACTCAATTCTAAAAGCCGAGGAAAATATCAAATGTACTTATCAAATCATTTAGGTTAAAAAAATATAAATATTCCAGCATCTACACGTATATTTTTTTATCTTTTTAGAACTAATATTGATACTGTCTTTAATCTTAATGAAAATGGTTGTCTATTATAAGAGAAAATGTGCAACATACATGCTAAGTTCTTTATTCTTCCCCAGTTTGGCCGTGTCTGCAATTTGTGTCAGAGTTCTTCTTATAACAACTACCATGCGGTTCTGACGTCTGATTTCAAATTCATGAAACCGCTGGTCACAGATGTTATATGTTATATTCTCGATGACAAACAAAATTACTGCACTGAAATATAACAAAATAATTGCTAGGACTTAAAATCCACATGTATATTTTAACACTTATACAAACTGAAAACTATTATACATATATGATACGTATGTAATGGCCATCTTGTTGTGCACTCAATTTCATATGTTGCTTCTTACTACATGTTTCGGCAATGATTGCAGCTAAAAAGGAAGGACACATCACAGACACTGTACACACAGAAACGACTCCCATAGTGGACGAACCATACTATACGCGAGTTTGAATTAAGACATATAGATGAATAATCTTAACAAGTTTTAGTATATACAAATTTTATTATAGTTAACGAATAATGTACTTTCTAAATAATTTTATGAAAGACACAAGATGGCAAACAATGTAATAGCTTAGCATAAATAACGAACCTGAAGATGGCACTATGTTGCCGAAACATGTAGTAAGAAGCGACACATGAAATTGAGTGCACTACAAGACAGCCATTACATACGTATCATGGATGAAAATCAGTGCAACATGATGGTAAAATACAATATTATACATACTTTGGGTCACCATAAATCTTCCATGCTTCCAGCATTCCTCCGCACAAACCTTCCAAAGCTGTGTTAACTGGCACCTAACAATAAACATAAGACACATTTTAATACACATGCCCCACTGAAATTAAGGAATTGACAAAATACATAAAAATGTTATTTTGTTTATATATGCATCCATTACTGAGTAGATGATTCAGTCTTCATTTATATTAGGGCAGTTTGTGAATGAGGAACTGGAATGGATGAGGAAGAAAGTGGCCCTATGGCAACAATGGAAAAACCATGAAAAACCTCACACATGCCAGCCAGTCCCTAAACCAAGAATCAAATCCGGGGCCTCAAGAATACCAAGAACAAGTGCCCACTGCTACACCACCATGGTTTGTGTGCTCCAATTTTAATGACATGCATCAACGATCATTCAGTATTGTACACTATGATTGGAATTATACTGTGAAGCCGCAAATCACAAATGTAGAAATTTGTACAAGTTATGAATATTCATTATGTACAAGCCCTGACAACAAAGTAACCACAATGATTCTGTAAGTTTTGAGTTCCTATTTGATCACTAACCATCAATGGATACAGTAACTTTCATTTCGCTGAATCTCTTCAACAGATTAAAAAATTAGAACTTTTATAACAAAATTTTCAATTCTGGAAACACCAAAAAGTCAGATGAAAGTATGTTGGCTCTTCCAACATTGGCAATTGGTTTTTCACCAAATACTGCCTTATAGTATGCAAAAGTAAACTGCCATGACCCAAAATCCAGCTATCCACATGAAGATTTTGACATTTGATGTGACAGGCACTTCATACAGTGTGCAAGGGCTTTCAGTTTTTTCCATGTTTCTGCACCCTGGAAGACCCAGGTGCAGTGGTGGTGGTGCAGCAGGGATAAACCTACATTCAGTCAAAGCTTCCAGCTCCTGTGCTTACAAGGTACTTACATTTTTTATCTTATCACCATGTCCCAGTTCCTGGAGTACATATCTGGAAATCATTTGAAAATTCAGTTTACAACAAAACATATATATATACAGACACACAGACACCTATTATATTGTGGCAAATAGACCTGCTGCCACATGACAACTCTGTAAACAGAAGTTGCTGCTATGTAATGTCCTCAACATACCCGTATGCAACATTAGGATGAGGTTATGCAACCCATTTCTAAGCAACAGATTGGTAAACACACCTACAACAGGGGTACTGTTGGAAATGGTGTTCTCTATTTGGTCTGTGCAAAGTGGTTATAATGAATAGTTCAGTTAAGAATTGGCAGCTGAGTTGAGTTATTTGAGAGTTGGGCTCTGCAAGGGAAGCTGAGAAGATGGTGTTATGAGTTCAGGTGTGGAGTGTTAACCAGCAGGCAACAGCTGAAGAATCTTCATTGTTAAGATGTGTTACCAGGAAACGTCTAGTGAAAACACTGCAGAGGAACAGCCATGGTTGACAGCCTTTACCAAGCAATGACTACTGAAAGCAGGCTCAGAAGATAGCATGGAGTGATTGTGTGGAAATAAGCTGTAGTGTTATAATTACTTGTAGTTCCAAGTCATGTACGAGTATACATGTGGTAAATAAATCCATTCACCAATCCATACCCTGTCTACAGTCACACTTTAAATTGTGACAATCTCCAACTGTATGCCAAATATATAAATATTCCATCTGCCTTTAATTTCCACTTCAGAAACTAAGCAACCTAAAATAGTAAAGTAAGAGACTTCAACATCATTGTAGTTATAAATAAATCATTCTTAATGCTCTGATGAACTTTAAAATCAACCACATAGAGTAAAACATCACTGAGGTAGAAAAATAGGGGGAATGTATAGTCAGAATTTGTAAAGTCTAAATTACGGAAAATACTTACATAAAAATATTTTCAAGCAGTAGTTTTTAAAAGTAAAAAGGCAAATAATAGAGATGGCCCTGTGCTTAATTAATTAAGCACTATTCAACAAGGACATAAGGAGGAGTGGAGGTATGGCTCCAACATTCTTGACATCAGCACTTGATGGAGGCTAGTGGTCAGCTTCACACCCCAGTAGCCATTAGATGGGGGTCTGTGTGAGCCCCAGAGCTGGTCTGGATGCTGTGGGGTAGAGAAAAATCTCCTGTCCCTGTTGTGCATCAACTCTGGTCTTCACAGCCCATAGCTATACTAACTGAATTATTCCAGATCACACTCTTTTAAGTGGAAATTTATATCGTTTTCAGTAAAAATGAGATACAATACATACTCTTCAAGTCGGTACTTTCTTTTTACTAACTCAACAGCTACAAGATCCAATTACAGAATTAGCACAACCAAACAAAAAGTGAAGGAGACAGTAGAGATGTAGGCCAAATACGAGTAGATATGCATAACATATTCTGCTGCATAGTAGATAAGCATACTTTTTGACACTGAATGTAACAAAATATTATAACTACTTATTAACCAAAACAATGATCTTAAAGACTTTACTGCCAAACACACTGCCATTGTTACATATTTAATTTTTAGCTAAAATGCAGTGAATAGAAGGACATTTATTATGTGAAAACAAAGTATAAAAGGTACTAAGGCTCTAGTTTTTGACCGAACTCTGATACCAACAGTTTCTAAAGGTTAATAAATAACGGTTAAATAAATAAATGGTTAATAAAATCACTGTAAACAATTTTTCATATGTAATGCCCTAAAATAATGTTGTCTCAAGGTAAAGCCTGAAATTTTAGGTTACCCAAAACATAATTATGAGGAGAGTCGTTAAATATGCCACAAATGGAAGTAAAACGGCTGTAATGAATGTAATAGGTTTTCTTTGTGTATCACTAGGTAACAGCACAGTCCAGGTAGCAGATGAACATGTGCATGCGGATGTTGAGAAGCTGGTTTCAGAAGCCAAAATGGCAACCATGCTTGAGAAGTGTAATACTGAAGAGCAGAATTCTGTTGTGCCCTTTTTTTTTTGTGTGGGCAAAAGGATATTCATAGAGAAATGTTTCATGTTTACAGTGGGAAGTGTTTGTCGCATAAAGAAGTTCACAACTGCATCGAGCCATTGTCTCAAGGACATTTGAAAACTGCAGATGATGCTCGACCAGGTGCGAAGTGGCTGAGATAACAGTCAAAAGACTTCTATAGTGCCGGTTTCGACGCACTGGTAAAGCAATGGGGCAAGTGTATCAATATTGGTGGAGAATATGTAGAGAAATAAATGCTTCTTCCGGGTTCAAATATCACATATCTTACATTTTGTATCCATTTGTGACCTATTTACTGATTCTGTATGAATTTCCATTTTTAAAGAATATGCTCTAACATGCAGTAGAAAACTTTCTTTGGATATGCTCTAGTTTGCTGGAATCAGCGTTGGTAAGAAAAGAGAAACATTTTTGAGTTTTTTGTTGACTAGGATGATGTAAAACTATAAAATGTGCTAATTAGGCCTAACAAATTTAAAACATTAGAAATAATTTATCAACATGCCAATGGAAGTACTGTTGGAGTTAAAAAAAACACCATAAAACAAGGTTTCTAATACAATCTATATGTAAAATACCACAATTGCAAAGGTCACTTAAAAGTCAGCACATCAATCTTTCTTGAGAAAGAAATAACTTCTGTTTTACCAGCATTAAGCTTCATGTGGTGTTTAAGAAGTAAACCAGTTTTGCAGAGAGGTAGTATCTGACTGCATGGAAAGGCAGTCATGAACTGAGGTAATATGACAAAAATTTCTTATATCAGCAAAATAAAAGAAAATAGGAATGTTAATTTTGCTATATAAATTATTGTGTATAGTGAACAACAAACACTTATCTAACATGACATTAAGTGGAAGACCGCATCAATAAATTCTCCTTTTCAAATTACAGAATGACACATGTATGCACACAGAGAGCAGTAGTCCAGTAGTAGAGAGGGTTTCAGTTACTGTGGTTTTACTATTAATGTTACATGCTTCATGCAAGTTCCTAAAATAATGCATGATTAATAGTATATCCAAGTCAATTTAAGAGAAATGTCCCTTGTTAAATTATCATGACAGCAGTACAGTGTGCATACAAGAATGCTAAATACTGTTGGCTGGAGGGTGAAAAATAGTGGTGAAGCTGTATGGAAATATGGAAAAGGAATTATAAAATATGCCAAAACACCATTAGTTCTACTTTACTGTAACATTTCTTGTAATACTGTATAATTCTGAAGTTGCTCAGTTTATGCATCATAAAGTCATGCCTTAACACTAGTTCCTCAAGATTTCACCATTACTTGCTTTCAGCTTTACTTAAAATCATAACTATGTCCAATTCAATTCAATAATTCTGAACATGATGGCCTTTTGTCAACGTGATTTCTTTTGCTGTTTCATAGTGTCTGTAGACTTGCAGAAAGAAAGTTGGGTCCACTCGGCAAGGCGGCCACTGACTGTCCTATTGTAGCCTGCCCCAGGTGATTATGATGATGGAGAACTTGGTGGAATGAACATTGGCAGGGAAAACCGAAGTACTTGAAGAAAACCCATCCCAGCGCCACTTTGTCCACCACAAATCCCACTTGACCAGACCCGGGATCAAACCCGATCCTCCAATGATATGAAATTGAAGGAGACAATTTCTTGAATCAGATAATTTCCATCAATGAAACATGAAACATTGAATTTTCTGAGGATTAAAGAATTGTAATGTGCAATTTCTCTTGCCTACTATACCTACACCCCTTCACATCTATCTGATCTGACTAAGCCAATCGGAGGGGTATATCATGCCCTTTCATAAGTATATTTTTAACTTTCTTCACTCTAACGTGTTTGCCCCCAAAAAATTAGTTGCCATGACTTTTGAAGTAACCCACATATATATACATATAACAAGTTGCAACAAAATAATCCTTCTAGACAAATCCCTTAAAACATAAAGCAAAAACAGTAAATGACTATAGTAATCAAATTGGGTATAATGAGTACTAACACAAGCAGGTAATTTGAAAGCCTACCATGAACTGTTCATTTACATGGAGCTGCCATGTGCTACACCTGTCAGATCAGTTCACTCACATTCAGACTCATGACATGATCAGCAAACTAACAGCATATACACATTACAACAGATGCTGGAAATGTTCTCTGTTGTTCTGCATTCAATCTAGGCACCTTTGAAAAAGTTTACATTCTCACATTGAAGTTCTCGGGAAGTTGGGCAAACTTCTCTTTGTGCTGACAATGCTGAAACCCTGGTCTCCTGTGCATGGTGTCTGAGGTTATCTTGAGGAAAAAGTATAGGCCTAGCACTGATTTCATCCATTTCCTCTTGGGGAATACTTAGAACTGTGATGTGATTCTTTTTTCTGTAAAATAATGACCCTGTCTGTGTGTAAAGTTTTTGTATGCGAAACCATACCATTCTTAAATTTACATTGGAATCTTCTCCTTACGTTTCTTACACAAACATTCATATAGTTATTGAACATGAACACTCACTGTTGCAACATATAACTCACACAGCAATTCGATACAGGAAATAATACAACTGGGTCAAGACTGCTTATCACACAAGTCAAATACTGTATGTTAGTAGAAGCAATATGAGACTTGAAATTTATGATTTGGCCAACATATAATGCATAAGTTCACTTCACACTGTCTGTTCAACAATTTATTGAGGTCATATTAAAGAGAAATTATAATGCGTATAGACTATTGGTTTGTTGAACACAACAAAAGTCCAAATGTGCACAAACTCATCTGATGTGAGCAATGCATTAAACTTCTACATGAGGAACTGAAGAAGAACTTCCAATAGGCTCTGAAATAACCTTGCTGTACTAAGATATTGTATCAATCACTGAAATGCTGATCACTGCCAGTACAGCAGCTGTGTTAACTTTCCTTATGTTAGAAGAAAATTAAAGTAGAAAGACACGTGACTCTAATCAAAAAATACACACTATCATCATCTAACTACAACATTTAAACTTGTCTCTCTATACCAAG